CAATTGAATAGGTGGAAATAACTTAATAAATCTATATGATTACACAATATCACCATTTTCAGAAAAACGGAGGAACTTCGGATTAAAAGTTGGTGTTGTTTTTACAGTGTTTTTAAACATGTGTTATGACTGTAGCTTTGCTAAATGAGTTATATAGTTGAATATTCCAGACAATTTTACTTTTTGTTTTTCCAAGATAATTAATTTTAAAAGCATTGTTCACCTATTGGGAAAAACACTGCCAAATTGGAAAAAAAAACTGAACTCATTTTCAATTGGGAATGGGGACAAATTTGTCCCTGAAAAGGTACTGATAAATCCCTGAACTGTTTGAAAGTGCAGTTTGGTTTTTGAAAACAATGAAACCAATCCAACAATGTCCACCATTCTGCACACGTTTTTATAATTTGCTATTATAAAACATGGGTTTGACACGAGCGGCTTGAAAAATTACGGATTTTTTTTTTTCAAAATGCAAATTTTTAGAGTCAGCGGATTCGTAAAACTAAAAAACAAATTATTGCCACCTTAGGTTTCTCTATTTTTTATTTTTTGACCGGTACTTAATCCGAAACTATCCTCTGCCACCTTGGATTCCTTCATAATTAGATAATTCATACCACTTTTGTTCTTGATGCAAGTAATTAGATAATTCATACCAACAATAGTCTTGATTTGTTATAACAATTGTTTTGTTAAAGTAATACAAAGACAAAAACAAAGCTTTTTGACAACGCTTTTTAAGTGACTGGGTTTTCTGGGAGATTCCCAATTTAGCCTAATTGATGCTGAAATTCCCAATTCTGAGGGCCCCAACCCCCAGTCCCCCAAAGTACTGAAAAAAAACACTGCTATACCCAATTTTGCAGATTCAATGATACCCTGATATTGGGGACTATAGGTAATTTCATGGATAATACCCGATTTCAAATATTCTCTCCAATCTGTTTAAAATTGGCTCACAAGAAAAATTTGCCTGGTGACTAAAAATTTGCATTCAATGGCGACTAAATATTTTTGATTAGGAGCCAGCTGGGGCCTAAATTTTAGAGGTAACTTAGCTTGAGGCCTGGTCACTCATATGGAAAATGTAGGAGGTCAGGTCAGACACAGACACCAAGAGACTCAAAGAGTATTACATAAGCTTCCCCCTCTTTACTGAGGTTAGCTAAAAAACAGTCTTTGTCTACTCAAAACTCCATTGGTACATTTTCACCTAGGGATTTACAATTTTTACTAATATTTGATGGACAGATAATCATTGTAGCTGAATATTTTGAATGCAGATAATAACTATGAGTTCTGAGGTAAACTTATTAAGACTTCATTGTTGCCTAGCAATATAAACAAGAGGCACTTGAGCATCTTAGAGTTCAGTATTTTACAAGAGGCCCATGGGCCTTGAATCGCTCTTCTGATAAACTGTACAACCTATCACTTCTATTTGAAGCCTCGAAGTATCCTGTATATTTACATGAACCCTTGAAATTCCAATTCACACTCTGAGAACCCAAGATGATTCTAAGCCAATTAGTACCTGAGAGTTGGTCATGGTGACCTACTTATCACTTGTCATTCTCTGAGGACCCATCAACTAAGTTTGATGATTCTAAGCCAATTAATACTTAAAGTATTTTTTTAAAATTATAATCATAAAATTCTATAAGTAAGTCAAAGTGACCTACTTTTCACTTGTTTTACTCCAAGGACCCAAGATGCATCAACTGACAAAGTTTGATGATTCTAAGCCAATAAGTACCTGTAATATTTAATCAAAGCCATAAATTTTCAAAAGTAGGTCACCGTGACCTACTTTTCAGTTGCTGTACTCCGAGGACCAAAGATACATTGACTGACAAAGTTTGATGATTCTAGCCAATAAGTACCCAAAATATTTAATTACAGCCATAAATTTTCAAAAGGAGGTCACAGTGACCTATTTTTCAGTCAACCTACTCCGGGGACCAAAGATGCATCAATTGACAAATTTTGACGATTCTAAGCCAAATAATTCCTGAAAATATTAAATACAGCCATAAAACTTCAAAAGTAGGTCACCGTGACCTACTTTTCAGTTGTTGTACTCCGAGGACCCAAGACGCATCAACTGACAAAGTTTAATGATTCTAAGCCAATTAGTACCCGAAATATTTGATTAAAGCCAAAAATTTTCAAAAGTAGGTCACCGTGACCTACTTTTCAGTTGTTGTACTCCGAGGACCCATGACGCATAAACTGACAAAGTTTGATGATTCTAAGCCAATTAGTACCTGAAATATTTAATTAAAGCCATAAATTTTCAAAAGTAGGTCACGGTGACCTACTTTTTAGTCGATCTACTCTGAAGACCCAAGATGCATCAACTGACAAAGTTTGATGATTCTAAGCCAATTAGTACCCGAAATATTTAATTAACGCCATAAATTTTCAAAAGTAGGTCACTGTGACCTACTTTTTAGTCGACCTACTCCGAAGACCCAAGATGCATCAACTGACAAAGTTTGATGATTCTAAGCCAATTAGTACCTGAAATATTTAATTATAGTCATATAAATTGAAAAGTAGGTCACGGTGACCTACTTTTCAGTTGACCTTTTTTGAAGACCCAAGATGCATCAACTTACAAAGTTTTATGATCATAGGACTTAAAATGTCCAAATTATGCCTCTAAAACGCTTTGAAATCGAATGCCTGCAAAGTTCAAAAAGTAGGTCACTGTGACCTACTTTTTAATAAATATGTTTTATGGCCCCAAGATGCATCATCTTACAAGATTTAATGATTCTAAGCCTCCCCGTATTCGAATTAATGACCTTAATTGTTTTAAAAATGATTAGCCATAAAATTCAAAAAGTAGGTCAAGGTGACCTACTTTTTAGTTGACGTACTTTGAGGACCCAAGATGCATCAACTGACAAAGTTTGATGATCATAGGCCTTAAATTGTTCAAAATATACCTCTAAATCAGTTTGAAAAAGGAATGGCCGCAAAATTTAAAAAGTAGGTCACCATGACCTACTTTTGAGTCAACATGATATGAGGTCCTTAGATGCACCAACTGACAAGATTTGATGATCCTAGTCCTTATAGTAAGCAAAATATCAACATTTTAATAAAATGTAATTTTTGGTCAACTTTGAAGTGACCTTGAGACCACGCCCTTTGCCCCAGGGTAAATCCCCGTGCAAATTTTAATCTACAACATATCCTCATCCTTTTGTGTAAGTTTGGTGATAATCTGCCCAGTGGTTCTTGAGAAGAAGATTTTTTAGCAACCAGTACTTTTGTTTCTATTTTCCTAATTATCTCCCCTTGTTAAAGGGTCACAACCCCAGTTTTAGTATAAAAGGGAGCCCTTGGGCCAAGGATACCCTGTGACAAATTTGACAATAATTGGCCAAGGGGTTCTTGAGTTATGGCCCATATTCTAAAAAGTTTACGCACACCGCACACCGCACAAATGGCCATAGCATTAGCTCTTTGAGCCTTTGGCTCAGAAGAGCTAATAAGTGGTATCAACCTATCCATAAGGGGATGGGGGATGATTTGAACAAACTTGAATCTACACAAACTCAGGATGCTTCCATATTTCTTTGACAAATCATGGCTTAAGAAGATTTTTAAAAAAATTTTTGGTTTTGATTGGTTGGTTGGTTGTTTGTTGTTTTACGTCCAATTCGAGAATTTTTCACTCATATAGAGATGTCACCATATACCGGTGAAGGGCTTAAAATTTTGACCTTTACTTGGCACTCAAGCCATTGAGCAGTGAGGGATCTTTATCATGTCAACCCGTGCCGTTACACTGGGTCTCAGTTTTTAAGGTCTCATCCGAAGGACTCGCAACTTTTACTTCAAAGTGCCAAGCGCTTGGCGAAGGAACAGTTGCTACCCATTTTATATCAACTTAGGTCAGTCACGGCCGAGATTCGAACTCACAACCTTCCGATCACGGAGCGAGCGCTCTACTGACTGAGCTACCATAAACAGTGGTTCTGGAGAAGATTTTTAAAGATTTTTCCTATGTATTCCTAAAATAAAAATAAAGTAAAACTTTGATCATCCATACTGGCCCCACCCAATCCCCAGGGATAATGATTTGAACAAACTTGAATCTACACAACCTAAAGATGTTTCCATATAAGTTTCATCTTTCCTGGCCCAGGGGTTATGGAGAAGAAGATTTTTAAATCATGACATCAAATTTTCACTATTTCTTAATTATCTCCCCTTGAAAGAGGGCGTGGCCCTTCATTTGAACAAACTTGAACTCCCCTCACCCAAGGATGCTTTGTGGCAAGTTTGGTCAAAATTGGCCCTTTGGTTCTGGAGAAGAAGAAGAAATTGTGAAAAGTAAACGACGACAACAAAGACAACAACGAAGACAGACAACGGAACAATTTTAATCAGAAAAGCTCACTCGAGCCTTCGGCTCAGGTGAGCTAAAAAGCATTTGAATAAAACAAATTGGCAAACAAGAGATGTTTGTGAAACACTTATGCCCCTTCCCCCTCAAATAAATGGAATTTTTCTAAGTCCAAGGGACATAACTCTGTCAAAAATTGCTCGATTATATCTTAAACAGCACTTGACCTAGATATTCTTATGATAAATCTGTATACCAAATTTCCTTTCATTATGTGCAACCTCTGCATAGAAAATGAACAGAAACTGTCTAAAATTGGAATTTTTCTAAGGCCAAGGGACATAACTCTGTCAAAAATTGCTCAAACGTACCCAAAACAGAAATTGACCTAGATATTCTTATGATGAATCTGTATACCAAATTTCATTTCAGTATGTGCAACCTCTGGGAAGAATATGAACGGAAACTGTTGGTGGACCGATAGACAGACAGACAGACTGACAAACAGACCGACCAACAGACAGCAGCAAAGCAATATGCCCTCCCTTCTTTGAAGGGGGGCATAAAAATTGAGAATATTCTAGACAAAATAAGAAGTTAGAATTTGAATTATAGACATGCATGCATCATTTACCTTCCTGTATAGGTGTAATCAAGTAAATACTCAAAACTCTGATGGTCCTCCACATCTTTCAGAACAAAGGTGATCTCCTTTTCCTTTGTCTCAAACATGTTCAGGAAAAAAGGACTAGCTGAAGCAAGGACTGCACGATGTACTGGATAATCATGGGCCCCCACCACAAGGCAGGCATCACAAAGCTGCTTTTCTTTGCGCAATTTACAAAGACCAAAGAGTAAATCTTTCTCATAGCCAGGTTTTTCATAGCTCAGTGGAGCTCTTATGATTTCTGTTGGTTCAGACTCCTCCTCCATTTTTTAAATATTCACCAATTGCTAAATTAAATGCTCAGGAGCAATGCTCATCCATCTGCAATTATGAGCCTCTTTTACTCTGTAAAACATAAAAAACAAATTCGTTTAAAATTAAGTGAACAAATCATTACAATTAAAAAATAATTATTAAATACAAAAATGAAAACCAAACAAAGAAAAGAAAACACAATTGACATACAGCAATACAAAATGACATTGATTTCCCTAGACAGAAAAGGCCAAATGTATTACAGATATACTGGTAGTACTAATATGTTCCCTATAAAAATACAACAGGACAACAGCTAGATTCAAGAAATCTAGTGAACAAATCCACTGATTACAAGGTCAATGACCCCTGAACCAAAACAACCTGACTTATCAAGCCTGTGTTTAAAACTTCAAGTCAGTGACCTTGAGATTCCAATAAACATGCTGTATGTATTTTATAATGCTAGAAATGTCAATCATTACGATCAGACATTTTTACTTATCAACTCTTTCTTAACAACTGAAAGAAAGTACAAACGTCATACATTTCTGGCTCCTGCTACTGATAATTTGGCATTCATTCATTCATGCACCACTTGTGCACTAAATACTCCATTACTGGAAAACAAAATAGTGTAAACATTCTTTTTTCCATAGTCATAATTCTGTGGAATCACAATTTTCCGTTCAATCCACATGAGAAAATAATGTGAGAGTCAGGGGAGTTTTATATTTCTATTTAATTACATGTACTTGCATATAGAAATTTTAAAGATATTTTATAAAGAGTCTTATAGTGAAACAGCCGGTTAACTATTGCAGGTTATTACTACTTTGCACAGACCGGAGGTTATTTATTCACTCATGATCTCTATCGATGGCGAAAATGATATTTAGTCATTTATTTTCTTTCTTTTTTACAGTTTTGTTTCTGGAAAAATTAAGTGTAGGCATGTGCCTTAAGTGCCTAATGGCAACTATGCCACTGAAAGTAAAAAATATAAAGAAAATAAAGAAAAGAAATTCTCTCAGAATTACTTTAAACTACCTTTCAAAATGATTTTTAAATAAATAGCCAGCAATCAATTTCATGTACTGTAGTGATGATCACACAATCTACATGTAAGAGGGTCATGCATTCAAAATAAAGAAATTGACAATGTCACTTTTTAGCATTTTATTACTTTTAGAAATTAAAAATTAACACATTTATTTTGTCAGTGTGTGCATGCAGTTTCATTTTATTTTATCAAATGATACTCATGTCATTTTATTAAAGGAATAATTTTTTTCCTTTGGTGTTAGGATGTAATCAAACAATTGGCTTGCATGATAATTTGCATAAATACCAAAGAAAGGAATACGAAATGATGGAACTCTGATCACTATACATACCCCTCACTTTTCAAAGGGAGGGGGGGAAAGGGGGTATTAAAATGGTATAAAAAGATATGCTATTTTTCATTTAAACCTTATAATAATATCGTTGTTAATAAAAATTAATGTTGAGAATTTCATTGGAGGGGGGGGGGGAGATTTTAAAGCAGAGGGTCATTACCCCTTAGTCCATCTATAAAATAACAAACTGAGGTTCATGCAGACATAAATTTTACCTTTATGTAGAAGTTTCTTATGATGCTTTTACATGTCAGTTTCCTCTAAATACATTTGGCAAAAAATTAATGAAAAATAATAAGAAAAAAAAACTATATTTAATGGATTTCAAAATCTTTTCTTCTCAAGTTCACTCAGTTTTCAACCTCTTGAATAGTCAATCGCATGAAATAAAATTGTACAATTTTAATGACTTGCAATACCTTGCCATTATAGACAGTTATATTCAATATACCAGTTATACAATATACCTATCAGATATTATTTGCTAATAATGTACATTTATACCATTTCAATAATATACATGTATTAGATAAAAAGAGTATCGTAAAAAACTTCTTTGAAGACTAAGTGCGTCTCGATCAACACAATAATGACAATATTCAAGTCTGCATGGTATTTTATAAAGTCTATACAAGTAACTTGACACGTTCAGTGACACTAGCAATTTAAGTACATCTTGATAATAAGGAGCAATACCACCAGGTTGTAGTTCCAAAGGACATCAACCAAATACAGTATTCATACATAAACATGCCAATCAATAATCAATGTTGTTTTTCCACTTGTTGGGGAAAGAGGAACAATACTTATTTCCCAAGGTCAAGGGCAATTAAGGACATACACAAAGTACCTTACCTACTGATAATTTTTCAAGATATTCTTAATTTAAGATTATAGTGGCATCAGATGTTCCTAGACAAAAAAATCAGCATGCATTACCAGGGGTTTTGAAAAGATATCAATTGATGAAAATTCTTGTATAATTCAAAGAAAAATATACAAAAATTACTAAGGATATATTCTAGATGTTTTGTTTATCCAAACTTGTTTTAGAAGAAGTGTACAATAGCATATATAGACATTTAAATGTAGCACACAGTTCCTTTAAGTATTGGAACTCTTCAACTCCAGGGAAAAAGACAAGTAAGTTCAAACTACTTGCGTATGTCCTTAAGTTAACTAGAAATCTGACCAGTCAGCAAGGGCCCTGCCAAGGGGTAGAAATATTAGGGTGCAGATTAGGGAATGAGAATTTTACTTGATTACAAAAATTTAAAAATATACGAAGAAGAATATTTATAAGCAACAGCAACTGTAATTATAAAATTTCAACATAATTCCTAAATATCCAACAACCTGTATATAGTATCCTTGTATTTACATAAGGCCTTAAAAAAACATCATATCTATAATTATAACTCAATTATATGTATATTTAAAGAAGAATAAAACATGTGTTTTCTAAAATGCCAGCCTTCAGTGAATGCAAATATCACCCAGGCTTGACCTTATAACTTCAAAACAAACATCAGTTGCAGACAAAGGTGTTAATAAATCTTCAAGTGACAGAGAGATAACCCTCTAAAATTTTCTGCAACCAGTTAAGATAATTAATCCCAGGGGATTAATTGTACTGCTCTCTCATCCTTTTCTTCTAAGTTTACAATAAGAACTTTTTCAGCAATGATAGAATGAGGTTATTATCTGAATACCTGTTAAAATAAATAGTATTCTTGAATTTACATAAGGCGGAAAAAAAAAAGAAAAAAGAAAAAAATAAAATATTAATAAAAAACATATCTTTATCTATATCTTGTTTTTAGAATTCAATAAAATCATAATTCATTGTGTATTTTACCAAAATAAAGTATGAACATTATTTAAATCCACCTTCAGAGAATGTAAACATCATTCAGAATTGACCTTAACTTCATATATATTTCACTTCAAAACAAACTTCATTTGCAGACAGAGGTGTTTATTAATCTCAATGTGACAGATAAAGATAAATGCTTTGGATTTTCTTCAAGAGGAAAGTTAATTAATCCCAAGAGACTCATTGCAGGCTTTCATATTTTACAATAGGAACATTTTCAGCAGTTATCTCTCTTTGCACATTCACTCTTATATAAAGTTAAGAAATCTACCCCACCACCCCAGTTCCAAACCAGATGACATAAAGAACTAAACTTAGCATCAAAATACCGTATATCCATTTTTTTTTTCGTGTGTTGCAAATTTTGCGAGAAAAGGGTAGATTTGTACTTTTTTATTTTGCGTGAGTTATTTTTTGCAATTTAAAATAATTATTAATAAAACGGTAACATTTTTATGGCACACAATAACCGATATAATTTCTGCATGTTTAATTTTTGGCGAATTAAAAATGATCGCAAAAAATGTGAAAAATAGATCATCGTGAAAAAACAGATATACGGTATGTCTTATGGCTTATTCAACCAACATACCAAATTTGAACTTAATTGATCAACCCTAAAAAAAGTTATTTAAAAAATACAGAAAATTTGTGGACAGAAGAGTTACAGACAGACAGACAGAGTGTTACTATAGGGCACCTGCAAATCCTTGCAGGGGCCCTAATTAAAACTGTGAATGGATTATTTAGACAAACCAGCCCAAAAAAACACTTTAAACTAGAACTGTCCAAAAGGGACAAATACCCCCCACTGGGTTTTTCAGAGAAAGTACCAAATCACTAATGTTTTCTAGATGTGAGAGATGTTCACAATTTGCTTAAACATTTACAGTGAAAATTTAATTACTCATTATATTTTTTATACGCCCGTCTTAAGACAGGACGTATTATGTTATAGCGTTCATGTCCGTCCGTCTGTTAGCTTTTTCATGTCCGGCTCATAACTTTAATACTATTAGGCCTAGAATTATCAAACTCTGTCAGCTGATACATCTAGGGTAGAAGGTGTGTCGCACATTAAAACCAGGTCGCTCTGACCTTTAATAAAGACGCTATGGCCAAATATGGAAAAATCATAACTAGAAAACCATTAGACTTAGAATCAAAAAACTATGTCTTTTAACTTTTAAATTACACAATCCCAAAAGATGTCAGATTATTGCAGTATCTTTATTAAAAAAGTGTTAAATCAAGAAAACACTAGTCTTATTTTTTTCATTATGTTCTTTACAGCAATCTGTAACAAGAAAAATTCCACCTCTCCCATGGGTGTAATGATCAGGCACTGGTCAAGGAAAATTTTGATAGCAGAAAATTGCATGTCAAATTAGAGATAAATTAATGAGTTTAGTGTGAGGAGATAACTGGTAGAGCATCTCTGATCAAGCAGGTGTTATCTACATCTCTTGGGAATTGGGCAAAAGGAATCAGTCTCTTAATTAATTGCTTGTGTTGTATTGAATTGTTCTTGTTGGCTAGTCTTAGTTTCAAGATAAATTTGATGTAATTAAAACTAATTTGATATTGTATATAATAATTAAAACTTATATGATATTGTATAATATAATTTAAACTAATTATTTATTGTACATTTTTTATTTTAATTTTTATATCTTTACAACAAATTGCAGACTGCCTTGTCTCACTAAGATGTCATTCAAACAATTGAATCTAAACTGTTTATGATAATTTAACAATATTTGATGGGTGTATCATGCTGTGGTGGGGCACTTTATTTCATGAATGAAACTAAG